CCTCCCTCCCTCCCTCCCTCGTTCTCTCTTTCTCTCTCTGCTTTAGCCTCCTCTCCCTCTTTGCCTTTCCCTTTCTGCTCTAGAGGCTGGGAGGGCGGAGCACTGTGGCCGAGCAGGGGTCTCCAAGACACTGCAGGGGCCTTTCAAGGAGGTTTCCTGAATTTGGTTTGTTTTTACATTTTCGCTTCCCTCCTTGTAAGAGGGAACTCTGCTATTAGCACGCAGTTTTGGACCATATCATTCGTCACGTTAGGCAATTTTTTCATTAATAGCAATTATAGTGGGGAAACGGCTTTGTTTATTTACTTGTTGAGATTTCTCTCCTCTCCTTGAGGCATGCTTCTGACTGCCTCAGTTCACAGTTAACTTCTGTGATCGCATTTGAGCTTCACATCTTTCATGCTCCTTGAGGGGAGCGGAGGGATAGAAAGCTCAGAGTACCTCCTGGCCTCCCCCCACCCCTGGACTGAGCTTTGGCCCCTGTCTCTCTGCCTCCAGACCCCCAAAATCACTGAGGCAGACACACCTGCTTTTATGTGTAGATAGAGCACTGGCCAGCTGCATGGAGGCAAGAAGTCTCCAAGCCAGGAGCCTTGCCCTTCTTCCCTGGGGGGCGCTATTTGGAGTCAGACTTCATCAATTGTGCTTTGGTCAATGTGGTGTCAGATCCAGGGAGCAGAGAGACAAGGCAAAGCCCACGCTGAACTCCCTCAACGAAACAGCTGCAGAAAGTGAGCCCACCTTGTTCAGGCCTGCGCCCTAAATAGAGTCTTAAAACTCAAAGACCGGTGAGGTTCCTTGTCACCTGGCTCCTTATTCCCCATTCCTCTCCTTTAGTTCATACTTGTCATAAGTGTAAGGAACGCCAAGTGTAGAACATCTTACGTTTCTCCCAGTCTCAATGTCATTTCAAAATGGAGATAATTCAACACCAAGTTGGTTTTGGAGTTGTTGGGTGTTTTTTTGTTTTTGTTTTCAGTCAAAGGAGATCTGACACAGAAAAAAAGTGCTTTGAAGTATTTTAAGTTCACTAAGGGCACTTGAGATTTCTGCAGTCACTGTTAGCATTGTCTTCCTTATCCATGTTAGGGCTCCAGGCTTCAGTGAAGGAAAGAATTAATTGGGTTCTGCCCTGAAGCAGAAGAGGCATACGATTCTGGCAGCTGCCTTTCCCTCCCTATGTGGGGAAAGCCCAAGATGAGCCAGAGTTCAGGTCTTTCCCCAGATCTCTAGTTTCCCTGGAAAGCTTGGAGAACACAGCAGGGGTCTTCACACTAAGCTGGAGCCTGAACTGGCTTGAGTGGGAAGGGCTAGGCTCCTCCTCCTCAATCTACTGTGTGTCCACCTCACACCTGCCTTCCCCAGCTCCTGCCTAGATTGTGCCTGGGCCTTTGCAGTGGCTGTGAGCACACACACACACACACACACACACACACACACACACACAGCGCTTGCAGGCTCGCTCCAGCCTTTCTAGGCATGATGCCAAGGATAAGTTTCAAGACTAAGGCACCTTGTGGGGCATGGGGTGTGTGTGTGTGTGTGTGTGTGTGTGTGTGTGTGTTTTCTCCCCCAAGGGACTTTGAGAATCTCTTGCCTGACAACACTCTTGTTCTGATCAAAGGGTGTCCTTTCTTATTCCTGCGAGCCCCTCCTGGATTTATTCACCTTCATTCTTTATTAAATTAGTGGGTTTTTTTCAAAGGGAAAATGTCTGCAGTGAATACTTAGCAACTGCAAGTGATCCCAGACTGGCCCACTCACTACTCATGACTTAATTCCAAAACTAACTGGTTCTGGGCAGGGTGAGTGGGTAGGGTGGTGTCCGGGTGGACAGGGTCTAGCTCCAGCAAGGAGCTTTCCTTGGTACCACAGCACCTGTGGAGGACTTGATTGAGGAATGGAGGAGCTGTGGAAGGGGTGGGCCTGTCCTCACTGGAAATACATGGAGTTGCTACTGGCTTTTGTTTTACATCCAAAGACAGAATAATGGAAGGGAACTACTTCTCTCTCCAGATCAACACTTGGAAACACAAAACAGAGGCTCTAGACAACAGTTCACAGTCTTTGTTTTCAAACTTGGTTGGGATGAGCACCACCTTGGGGCTTTCAACTTCTTACTCTCTTTTCAAATTTCATTTATGGTCCTTGACACCCCTCCGAGGGTGCTGACCACCTTATCTCCTGGTGGCGGTATTCTACCAGGAGTTTAATTATACACACACACACACACACACACACACACACACACACACACATATGTATAAACTGAGTGGGAATTCTATGCCAACCACTGTGCTTGGCTTGAATAAACCAGAGATGGTTCCTACCTACTCTGAGCTTACACTTTAATAACAAATCATTCAAGCAATATGTTATGTTGTAACAGACCACTCTACAGTGTAACCAAAATACAGAGTGTTATAATGAAAGCTTGTGTGTGGTTCCACACCATTTCCCAATCTCCAAGCATTCTCAGGTTTGGGGAAGAACACTTAAGTAGAAGTCAGAAGTCTTGGAATTGAGATGGACTTTGCCACTTTCCGTATATATTCACAGCTCTTATGGGCTCCTGGTGCATCCTGGGGCCACTCTAACAGCCAGGATAAAGTTGTGTGCTTTCTGACTCGCCTCTTTTGACCATGACCATGCTTTATGCATCCTTAGTTCTCCTAGTGTCTCAAGAAATGTTTGAAGCTTCTTAGCTCCTATTTTCTCAAAGTGCAAATAACTGGTCATAATCTGCTTTGTGTTTGTCCAGGATTGTTGTGCTGGGGATCAAAATATTTCAAGGCGAGATAATGTATGTGGATTTGGGTTTGTATATCATAAAAGTCTCTGACAACTGAATGGGACTATTACCTTTGATTTTGCTTACAGAAAATGATAGTTTGAACATTTTATTCTTAACTGGGGTTTGAATCCAGGCATCTGGCCTTCAATGGAAACGGCTCAGCCCCATGGCTGCTCTAGCTTCCAGGCTGGTAGCAGGAGGGCTTCCTGTATAATCAGGTGCTGGCCCCAGGTCTGGGCCAAGTCGAATCATGATCATGGCAATTCAGTCCAGAGTAGCCAGGAGCGCAGCTGAAGCCAGAGATGAGTGGATGATAGCCATCCTAGATTTTCTAAACGAAAAGTCTTGTACATTCATTCCCCAAACTCCAGACCAGCGAGCCTCTGCTGTTAAACAGTCCACGCCAGGAGTGCGAAGTCGTGCAACTTTTCTGGGGACCCTTTTGCAGATACAGAAGATATGAGTGGAGGCACAAGCTCTGGCTCTACAGCCCCCTCCTCTGCTCCATTTGATCTCCTAGGGGACACCTTCTGACGTCATGCCCTGTGAAGATGCTGTCGGCTATCCAGCCTCCACTCCTGCGCCCCACCCCCCTCCCTTTATCATGGCAATGCGGATGTGAGGGCGCAACTGTGAAGGCCATAGGTCTCCGGAAGAACAGGGCAGTCCGGCTCTCAGGTCTTTGCAGTTCAAATGCTCCTGAGATAATTTGGAGCTCACTTCGTTTCAGATCGCTCAGTTTGAAGTTTCCATTCAACTATTCCCAGGCTATATTGCAGCCGGAGCCCTTCTATTCCCCACTGCAGGGACGCTCTCTGGCCCTGGCCAGGGAGTGTGTCTGGGGTGACTTCGAATTTGAGATCTGGCTGAAAAGTGGAAAGGAATGAAAAGAGCACCCTTTGAAATATAGTAGTACTCTTTAGAATGTGAAGACACTAGGAC